ATTTAGTAAGAAGTCTGTTTTAAGATTCAATTGTTACTCTTTATTAATTATATTTTTTGCTTTCAACATTATATTTAATTTACATATCTTCTTTATCTTAAAATTATATAAAATATATAATACCTTTTTTAAGTTCAGCTAATTCTTATTTGAATTTTTCTTATTTTATTTTATTTTCATTTTATTCTTTTTTAAGCATTTCTTTTAATTTTATTATAAATGATTTCAATTTATTAATATCCATTTCATTTATATTAAATAATTCAACATCATTACAATCAACAATAATAGGTTTTTCTTAAAATGTAGTTTGTGATCTTTCAACTCTATTAATAGGTGTTAAAAGAAATGATTTTTCAGCACTTGATGATTTTTTATTTTAAATCTCAAATGATTTCTTTCTCTCAAGAAAATGATACAAACTAATATATATTTAAATATATTTACTGTTTAAATTATGATTATACAGGTTAAATTGGTTTATCTTTTCTAGGAATTGTTAAAATCTTATTTCCATTACTATACATTCCATTTTCAATTTTATCAATTAATAATTATTATCTATTAAGTATTTCATACATTTATAACATTTCTTCTTTCATTTCTTTAATTAAATTCTTTTTTTTCTCTCTATATATTTTAGATTATTAAATAAATTAATCAATTTCATTATTTTTTTCTTTTAACATAATATCATACATTTATTTTAATTATTATAAATTATTTTCATTATCTAATTTCATTTGATTTAATTATTTCATTAAATCTTATTCCATTTCAATTTTAATTTATTTTTTTATATCTTATAATTTATTATTATCTAATTATTTTAGATTTGCTGTTATTGGTAATTAAAATAATTTATTTGTTTTTTCATCTAATAAATGATTAGAATTTTCAATTAAATTTTTAATACAAGATTCTTTATCTTATTACATTTATCTCATCATTTCACTCATTTATGTTTTTTAAGTTACAAATTATTCATTAATTTTAAAATTTTTATATTTTTATTCCACTAATTGAAATTACCATTTATCTTACTTTTCTTTTATATCTTATTTTAATTAAGTGATTTCTAATTTTAATTAATTAATATATGACTGTTAATCATTTAATTATATTTACAAATTTTAATTAGCAATCAATGCTTCTTACTATTTCTTATATTGTTATATTTCCTTAAAACTTAAACTAGTAAGATTATCTAAATCAAATTCAATACATAATATATCCTTTATTGCTTTTAATTTATTTTTCTATTCTTATTATAATCTTTAAATTTATTCTTTTAAATCTTTATTCTCATACTCTAATAATTTAATCTATTTTTCTTATGATTAAGTTTTTGTTATTTCAAGTGTTTTTACAGATTCTTTTCTAGGTAATGTAATTGCATTTCTAGTTCTATCTATAAATTATAATGTTGAAAGTGTTTCATCATAATTTGAATTTGTTGGATAAATAGTTCCAATTAATGTAATTTATGTACTTATATCAAATTTTAATTATTGTGTGAGTTTTGAATCTTCTAATGATTATATTTTACCTTTAGAAAAGGCATTTAAACATTTTGTCAAAACTTAAAATTATTATGTAGCCCAAATAGCTTCTTAATATTTTTATGGTTCTTATAATTCTTTTGTTTATCTTTCTGGTCCTGCTAAATCCACAAATTTAATTTATTCCTTTTAATCTATAACCAAAGTGACTATTAAATGTTCCTTTCTTTTTTATTTAGAAAATGTTGCTTAATATTCCCAAACTGTTTCCATATCAAATATATTTATTTTTGTCATATCATCTGTTACATAATTACTTATATAATCTAATCCAATTTTCTTATAATTAATTGTAAGTTTATGTTTATCAGATAATAATTTCTTAATTATCAAAGGCATAATTCCAGGATTATCTATATCTCCAAATAATGTATATGATTTCCCACTACCAGTTTATCCATAAACTAATATCACTTTATTTAATTAATTAAACCCAATTTCTTTAATAATGTCATCTGTTGTAACATCTTGAAAAATATTATCAAAAATGAATTTTTCTGTTTCTTTAGATCCAGGTGTCTTATTTAGAATTTTTAGATATCATACTTTTAAAGTGATTTGGCACTCTTCTACTTTGAAAATAGGATTAACATATTCATAATTTCGAATTCTCAAGAAAATTTAATAGTTCATTTTTTATAATTAATAACACTACTAATCATTGAATTGCTTCTTCCTAATCGATAAGAATATGTTCGTTAAGGTGATATTTTAGATTTACTAATTGATTAATCATTAACTTAGGTATGTTGGGATGAATTTCTTTATTTATTCATTTATGATCCTAATGCTAATCTAATTGAATGTTGAAGTAACATTTATTTATGTCGATCAAGTTTAATTAAATATTAAATCATACCAATACAATTTGGATCATTATTAGGATTAGATTTTCTATTATGTTCTATTAATTTTTTTAATGCTAATTTTCTTTAATTACAACGAGTGGTAAGATCTCTTTCTGGTGAAATTTAAGATTTCTAAATTTTAGTACTTTTATGTTTTGTTGCTTCTTCATCTAAAAATTTAAGTCTTAAAAATAAAGAATCATCTACTCTTTAAGTTTTTTCAGGTTAAATAGTTTTTTTCATAATTTCATTCTATATATCTTTATTTAAATGATTTTCAAATCTTTCTTAAAGCCATTTTCTTTTCATTTCACATCTCTTATGAAAAAGTTTAGCAAACCAATCATTAACAACACAAATACGATAAATATCAACCTTTTTTATTGCTAAAACACTTCCTTTTGCACTAACACATTAACAATTAAATGAATGATAAACATTATTGAAACAATCATGATTAAAATCTTCTTCACCTAATAATTATCCAGGTCCTAATTTCAATAAAATATATTCTCTATTAGAATGTTTATTTGTCTATTTAAGAAGTTCAAATGTACTTTCATTAATTTATATTGGATAACGAATCAATTATTTTACTTATTTTTAATCATGTCTTAAAGTTTTCCTAAATCTATCATATTATGTATCACTACCACAACATTAAACTTCAAAATTATTATTATGACTACTATATGATACATAAAATTCTCCTTTTAAAATCAAATATACATAATGAGATTACATCTCAAATGAATATAAATTTTGATGATTACATAATTTAATTCTTTCAGATGAATTGATTAATTCTTATAGAACTCTTTTGAAATCAGGATATTTTATACCATCTTAAAATGCTCGACACATTAAATATTCAATTTTTTCATTCTTTCTTCTTTTAGAGGTTTCAATAATTTCCATATATTATTATACTTATAATTATAGAAACTCACAATTATCTAATGTAATAATTGTACATTAAGCATTTTTAGTAATAGATTCAATGAGAGCATCATCTTCATTTATAATAAGTCCACTTTGAAATCTAACAACATGTCCTTCAATAAGATGTGCCATTAGACTTAACATTTAGAAGGATTGTATGTTTAATTGATTTAACTAATCTTATAAGATCACTAAATTTTCTTTTGGATAATTTTCTTTACCTTTGAAAGAAAGTGTTTTAGTGTTAGGATTAAGATAGAAATTTTAAGGTATTCTTTAAATACCTGGAAATTTGAATTCTAATTCTTTGATCTCTTATGTAAGTTAATCATGAGATTTTGGTATTAATTTAAGACATCTACCTTTAAGAAGAATGAGAAAGTAATCAATTTTGAGTTTGTATTTAAATACAAATCTATCTTTAGGTAAATAGTGAAGTTTAGCTTATTAAATGAAACTCTACAATATTGGTTCATAATCTTTTTCAGATGTGATATTTTTTAATCGTTGAAAGTAGAGTAATTTTGATAAATAATCTTTATTGAACATTTATTATTAATAATATTCATATCAATCTAATATTGGTTTGGTATCTGGTTGAATAGGTAAAAACCAAATTAAAGGGTTTTTGCCAAAGACTTCAAATATATTATTCCAAATTCCTTTTTAAAGAGGTTCTCTTGGCTTATTCTCACAATATTCAAGGGTTGTGATGTTTGATTTAATTGCCCTAACAATCTCAGTATTATTGATAAGAATACCATAAATGAAAAAGAGTGAAAGCTGTTAATAAGATCCATAGGAAACAGCAATATAGAAATGTAAATGAAACTAAGAATAATTTAGCATCACTTGAATATGAGTTCATTGTGTCATAATAACAACGACTATAAGTTATCATTATAAAACTAATTAAAAACCCTAATGTTAAAGATCAATTATAATACATGCATAACCAAGTAAATTAATGAATAATTTGTAATTTCCATAACCTATACAATTATTTAACCATTAACAATGATGATCCATTTTCAACCAACAAGTTTTGCATTATCTACAATGATGACAACGTTTTGGTTTAAAAGCGTTGCAATTTTTACAATGTCTTCTACCTTATTTATCTATTAATTCATTTTTCACTTTCACATTCAAATTTATACGCTATTCATCATCTATTTCTGATGAAAATGAAGTTGATGTTTGTGATCCTTTTTTCTTATGATTTATCATATTTTCTTCATTTTCTATCATCTAACGAATTTCATTCTCTATTTTATTCAACCATTCAATAGGTATATGACCAGGAATTGTTATTACAACTCTGATTAATGTAATTGTGAATAATATTAGAATTATATGTAATGTTATAGTAATTCCTATTGTTTTATTGCTGAAAACATAGTCATTTATGTGTACTAATTGAATCAAGTATGTATTAATTTCTACTAATGGTCTAGAAACATACTCTGATTTTATGAGTGGCATCAAATAAGTCTTGAACATGAATATGCACCACATACCTCCATATACACTACATAAAAGTAAAGCACTATTAGTACAAGAATTGCCAATGGAATCCATGTACCAATATATCGAAGCAATTGACCTTCTCTATAATATTTCATTTATAAAATAAAAACGTATTTCAATGTCAACATGTAATTATATAATCCAATCCATTAGTATACAACAAATATGGATTCTAAGAGATTTACAAATCTTCCAGTAATTCAGATGAGAGTGATGATATTATCATAGTAGAACCTCTTGATGATAATTAGCAAGCGTAATTTTCTATTGATCTACTATTAGGATTAACAAATCTAATGTACTCTATTTAACAGCCTAAAATTAATCTAATCCAACATCTTCTTATATTAACAGACCAATCAATCAATCAGTAGTGTCTTCAAAGATTTATTCCTAAATTATGCCATCTAATCAACCAGAACACAAACCTTATTTGTAACAATCATAAAGAGCAGTCTATGATCCTACTATTTCTGTTCCTAGAAAATATGATCCAAATCTTTTTTAACGTGCATAATAACAATTATCATAACCTAAATCTAATACTAATCTTTAATAACCGACAATGATTGAACATTAACCAAGAATTACATAATCAATAATAAAACCAACTGAAAAGTCATTTCATAATAATTATGATACATAATAAAGAGACAAGAGCTTTATAGAATAATATCAAGAATATGAAGAAGAAGATGTACTCTAAAATTAAGATCAATTAAAATCTTCATATAAATAATAATCAGTTGCAGATTTACCTATTGAAAGAAAATAAGCTAATTCTATAATTCCAATTGATAAAAAGAGTAATCTAAATTAATAGCCTGTTCCAATTAGAGAATCTAAGGCTCCTGTTTTAACAGAGAAGGATAAATAATAATTGATTGCTAATGCTAAATAATAACTCTTAACTTTAGATTTATTATAATCCAAATTATCAACTCAAAATTACTCTGGTTAAGATATTTGTGAGATTGTGACTATCTAAAAGGGAACAATTAAATTGCATTAAGATTTAAATCATATTTTAAGTCATGATCGTAATTCAATTGTCTTAGTTGGAGTTATTGGATAAAACAAATCAGGTAAAAGCACATTACTTAATGAAATTGCTCATACATCTAATAAATAGAAATTTGGAAACAATGGTATTTGGATGTTATCAAAACCATTAGTAATAGAATAGAAAAGCTATTATTTTATAGATTGTTAGGGTACTGATAATTAATTACTTTATGCATTTGTTATGTTATGTTCTTCAACATTATTATATAACACACTCAAATTAGATGATAATAGTATTTAGTGTTTTCCTGTACTTGATACAATACTAAGATTATTAATCAATGAATATGCAATTATGCAATTATTACCAAATTTTATATGGGTTTAACGTGATACACTTTAAGCTCGTTCTATTATTGAATTACAAGAATTCCTTGTAAAAGCTAATAAAGGTTAATAATTTGAAAATTTGATTAGATAAAGGGATGTAGCTTATATAGCTCCTTAAGGAACTTCAGAATATTAGACTTCAATTTAATAATTGAAGGATAGAATTATTTTAGGAAGTGTTTGTAAATAAATTAACAGTTACAATCTTAATGGACCTTTAATGTATTTGTATATGGAATAAATTGTTGATCTACTTAATAAACCAATCTCTTTGTAATTGGATTAATTATGGCTATCAATTTGTGAGGATTATACAAAAGCTATATATAATTAAAGTTTAATTGGTTTTGTTTAATAAGTTGAAAATTGGATGAAAGATAATTAGAAAGTTGATGAAATAGAGATATATAAATAATTTAGAGATTTCAAAGATATTTCATTGTAATAGATATTTCCTGCTTGTTTTTTAAATAATAAAAATAGAATATATTAACAATACAAAAAAAAATTGTAGGAAATATTAGTATCAAAAGAGAAATAAGCTTTATAATATTGTCTATATACAAGTTAATGTGAAAATGATAATGTTTTGAACAAAAATATCAATAAAATAAATTTGAAAGATATTGATTCCTTTTCTTAATCATTCAATAATATGATTGATTAATTATAAAAATAAAAATACTAATTTTAGCAATGTTCTACATTTGCAGAATTCTTATAAAGAAATTATAAAAAATTTATAGAAGATTTATTTTCTAAATATTAAAAGATATTAGCAAATACAAGTGAAGAACAATAATTTAATTTGTAATAATCAAAATTATAGGTATCAAATAAGGAAGATGAATTAAAAAAGAAATAAGAATAAGTAATCTTTTTAGAGAAAAAAAGGAATCTTTTAATTAAAGAAATTTAGGATTTATAAGAGTAGATTAAACTTGAAAGAGAATCAATTCAAAATGATATTAGATAATCTGATTAAGGTCCTAGTGATGATTAATTATTAGAATTGAAATAGAAATAAGCTTAAAATAAATAAGAAATCTAAGTTTTAAGAAAATAGGTTTAAGAAGCTGAACGTAAAAAGAATGAAGAAGGATGCAATATATAATGATTAAATATTATTATTTTATAATAAATGCAACATCCTCATGAAATAGTTGATATGTTTAATGAATTTAAATCTACATAGACAAATTTGTTGAATGTGAAAGAGTTTTTAGATTTACTATAAGAATCTGGATTGAATAAAAGCTGTTAATTGTTATATAAGAAATTACAAAAGAAAAAAATGGATAATTTGAATTTGAATTAATTTGCTGAATGTTTTCATTATGATGCTAATGATTATGAAAACTTTAAGATGTTATTTTAAATAATGGATACTAGTAATTCTTAAAAGATTAGTAAATAGGAATTAAAAAAATAATGTGATATTTTGGGTATTAATATATATATATATATATATAGAAATGGGATTTAGTGATAAAGATATAGATATAATGATTAATTAAATTGGAAGTGATGAATAAAATGTAGTATCAAGTGATAAATTATGGAGTGTATTACAATAATATAAAAATCATGATTATTGATATAAATTAATTATTTAAAATCACATTCAAATAATATCATCTTCTATAAGGAGCCAATTATGATCTACGCATATCATTGACTTCCTTTTCTTTATCAGTCAATTATGCACGTAAACTTTCAATTTCTACTTTATACAAAGATAAATAGAGAAGTAATTCTTCATACTTTGATCCAACTCCAAATTAATCAGCATATTTAAGTCTATTTATATATATATATATATAAATACCTATAGATTTCTAATTCTTTATTTAAATCTTCAACTAAATTTTATAAACGTTCAATTTCTTAATTTAAATATAAATTTTTCTCTCTTAATAATAAAAGATCTGAAGAATCTTATTTAATTAACTTAGTTTTTAACATTTCAATTTGTTCAGAATAAGATAAATTTAAAAGATTCAATCTCTCAATTTCACTTGTAAGCATAGCCAATTTTTCATCTTAACTATATCTTTTTTTATTTAATTCTTCTTCTAAAATAGTAACTTTTCTTCTATTTGTTTCCATTTCAGTACTTCTTTCATTTATCAAAATAGATAATCTTTCAATTTCTTATGATAACATAATAATTTTAGTTTCATAATCTTATTATAATTAATCTTCCAATTTATTATAATTTTATCTCCATTATTCATTTTCATTTTATAAATGTCTTAATAATTAATTTAATCTATCATTATCTGACTTTAATTATTCTGATTAACTTCTAATTAATTCAATCTAATTAAATTTTAATTTATATTCTTATAATTCTCTAGATTATTATTCAATAATAATTGAATATTTTTATCTTTCTGTATTGAGTGTTTCATTCTCATTTCTTCTTGTCCTTACATTCTAATCTAATTCATTCATTAATTATTTTTATATATCATTTAATCTTTCAATTTCACTACCCAATAAAATAACTCTCTCTTCCAATTACATTTTAACTCTTTATATTTATTCTATATTATTTTAATAGGTTGTTTATTATATGATTAATTATTAATAATCATTTTAAATTTTTATTAAAGTATTTTCATTTTTATAATGTTTTTATTAAACTTACTCATTATGTAATTATATTTATTATATTTATTATTCTTTTTATCTCACTTATCCATTCAATCTCTCAATCTCCTATTAATATAGTTAACATTTGTCTTCCAATTAAATTAATTATGATTGATATTAAGAATTTGCTTAAATTTAGACTTCTAATTATTTGATTCTTCTATCTCTCTCTTCTATTTATTATTGAATTCTTTTCATTTCTTCTGAAAGTGTTCTTTCTCTATCCAATTTAGAACTCTCTTGTTTCCTTTAATTCAAAACCTCCTACTCATATTTCTATCTATAAAAATCTAATTATTAAGCAAATTAATCATATTATTCTCTTAATATCTAATTTTCTTATTCTAATTCTTAATTCCTCTTTTTTGTTTATTCAAAATGTTAAACCTTTTTCTAGAATACATCATTACTATTTTCTATCTCTTAAGTCAATAATAATAATTTAGTTTCATAATTTTATTAACTAGATCCTACTTCTATTAAAGTTTATTCTAATTGATGATTCTATTACTTAAATTATTCAAGTTCTTTCATTCTCATATCCAATTAATTTCTTAGTTTATAAACTTCATTCTCATTTTATTGACGTTATTGATCTGCACTCTAAATTAGCATTTCAGCATCTTATTAACGTTAATTTTCATAATATTATCTCAATTTCTCTTATTCCTTTTACAAATAATCACAACGCTCTCTCCATTATTAGACTTCTTATTAGTTCAATTATAAAGTTGTTTTTAATTCATTAATATTCTTTTCATAATTTGTAATAACATTAGAGTATTAATTAATTTGAATTTGAAATTCAGATTCTCTATTGGTTTATGTATATTACAATTATTATTACAACTCATAGTAACTTCTTTCCCATTATTACACTTCTTGAATACGTGCTTCTAAAATCAGAGACATTTGATGATTCTCTTGAACTAACATATCAATACGCTCTTAATATTAAGTAATCTTGACATAATCATTTTATATACAATAACTAAATGGTTCTTATGTCCTTAATAGAGTTATTCTAATTCTCTATATCTCTAAATCCACATTTCTAATTCCTATTACAATCTTATCACATCTGGATTTTGACTTTATTGTTATTGTTATTGTTATTATTATTACTCTCTTAAGTAAATTGGAACCATTATACGATTAATCACCTTATGTGTAATAGGAATAGACTTAATAGAATTAGGTGAAACTGTCACTCTTGATTTAGTTGTTCGAATAACAGGACTTTTATCTGTATGAACTTGCATTATTAAAATTAATTTAAAAAAATGTCTAATCTCTTAAATGCACTCTCTAAACTCAATAAATTATATGAGCAAAAGAAGAATGAAATCAATTAGGATCAAATTAGAAAAACAGAAGAATAAATGAAAGGTAATTGTCTATTATCTATAATTCTAGTTGAATAACCATAATAGAAACAAACAGAATAATAACCATAATAATAATAACAATAATAACAATAATAATAATAGAAGAGAAAGAGAAGAATGATTATATTAAGAAAATGTGCAGGTGATATTTGGGAAGATCCTACTTTAGCTGATTGGCCTGAAGGAGATTATCGATTGTTCTGTGGAAATCTAGGAAATGAAGTTAGTGATGAAGTATTGGCTAATGCATTCAGAAAATATCCATCTTTTGCAAGATCACGTGTTATAAGGGATAAACGTACTATGAAAACAAGAGGTTATGGTTTTGTTTCATTCTTAAATGCTAATGATTATTTAAAGGCATTTAAAGAAATGAATGGAAAATATGTTGGAAATCGTCCTGTAAAATTAAGTAAAAGTTCTTGGTAGCAACGTTCATTACATAAAAAGAAATCTGATGGATTGGTTGGTAAATTTATTAAACCAAAAATACGTAAAATTAAACGTGTAAATATTTCATGATTTATTTTTATATGCTTATTTCTATATATCCATATTATACTCTTATTCGAAAATCAACTCTCTCTTTTTTTGATTTTAATTTACTCTCAGAAAAGCATCTATTTATAAATAAATATGTAACAACTATTTGACTGCCCTATATGCTTATAAACTTTATTACATCCTTTGACACTTATATGTGGTCATACATTCTGTAAACCTTGTTTAAGAAACAAAAACTTTTATCAAAATTTCAATACATGTCCTGTTTGCAGATCACATATTTAAATTTACTTAAATTAGTTCAAAGTAAATGTTATGTTAGAAACAATCATCTAATAAGAATATCAAAATGATTGTGAGTATTAACTTAGATTAAAGAACTATCAACATAGAATGGATAAAAAAAAATAGATGAAACATTCTTACATACTTCTTATACAATAATATTTAAAATGGATTTATCAAAATTTGTCGAAGATGTTTCCATTAATTGTGATTGGTATGCATTATATATTATAATTAAAGTAATTGCCATTCTAATGTATTTGAGGTTTAAGAAACTTCGATAAAGATTTACTATGAGAGTGAGATTATAGCATTTGAGTCAAGAAATCACTAGACTATTGTCATAATTTTCATCTAGAAATGGAGATAATTATAAAGACACAGATATATAAAACTTAGTGTTTACAAAAATAGTAAAGCATTTATTTACAAATTATGTGAGATTTTGAAATTTTTATATAATTTGTATCATATCATGATCATTAAAAAATACTAATCTAGCAATTAGTATTTAATGATGTTCTAGATTATTAAAATAATTGCTAATTTTTTTTATTAAATAGAACTTCTTTTCTTTTAAAAAAGGATTATTCAGTTATAAGATAATCTAGATGTTTGAAAAACAACATATATGACTAATTAATCAAATTTAATATCTAATATTGTACCATTATTTTCAAAATTTTAATCAATTTTAGTATTAGTATATAGGAATTTACAAAAAAGTGAACAATTCTATAAAAAGTTTAATTTATTCTAATGAAATTGGATTTTATACAAAAATTTATATACAATTTATAAATCATATATAATGAAGCGAATAGTAAATTTTAGATAAAAATTATAAAAGCAAATTCTTCTAATATTAAAAATAATATACTTAATTTATAAATAATTATAGTCAATTAAATGTCTATTTAAGATGAAGATCATATATTGAAAATAATAATTTTTTTGAGATTAAGGAAATTTAATTATAAATTTTTGTTGTTTTTCTTATTTTAGTATATATTTTGTTATAGTATTATAAGTCAAAAATTATATTTATCAAAAATCCTCTTTCTTTGTGGTTATTTAACATTTATAGGCATAGGTCTTAAGGCATTTTCAAAATCAATTTTATACATATCTAATTCAAATTGTCTGCTTTTTTCATGAAATGAAATGGTTCTAGTAGTTGTCTATTCATCTAACTATTTATTCTTTTCATTATGGAATGATGCTTTTCTAACATGTTCAATTGGTTTATTTGTTTCACCTTCATTTGAAACATCCTCATCTATAATAAATTGATTTAGTGTAATTTTTAATAATGGTTTAATTTAATGATTGCATTTTTGATATCTATTATGAAAATAATGAATTTCTTATGATTTACTAATGTATTATTTAGATGTAAGATGCATAAGAGCTCTTGATTTCTAAATCAATTCATTAGGAAAATCATTTCCTTTCATTATTATCTTATATTCAAATGATCCTTATTCAAATACAAGTTAAACCTATTCAAATGTATTGTTTTCAACATAATATCTAAAACCTTTTTGTAGTAATCCATTCTTATAATAACCATCTTCTAAAATTCTTTTGTCAAAGTCTAAGATTCTACCTAATCCATCTAGTTTATTATTCTTAAACTCTCCAATATACATTTAATTTTCATGTATCATAAATCCAACCAAAGATAACAATAGTTTACTTTTATAGAGTGATGGATATTGTTTAATGAATTCAGAGAATAGTTTTTATTCTTTACTTGGTTAACAATCCACATCTTCATATTGACCATTTTTGAAAAATGATCTCAATTTCCATTATTTACCATTAAACAGTAATGCTTTATTCATTAAAACAGAATTTTGATATTCTCCAATGAGTACTTCAGTATTTGTTATGAAGATTCCTATTCCTTCTATGGAATTGTTCTTAAAAGTGGCTTTCAAAATTGCACCATATGGAAATATAATCAATCCTTCTCCATTATATAGATCATTCTTCCATTATCCAAAATAGAGAGTAGAATCATCATAAACATAAACTCCTAAACCTATCTTTTTGTAAAAGTAATCAAGTTATCCATAATACAATCCATTGTTAAATTATACTACTTTCATTATATAATAATAAATGACAATTAAAATTATTCTAACATTAAATTCTGTAGAATACATATTCTATAAGGATTATATAAAAAATAGTTATATGTATTTTTAATAAAATTACACTTTAAAGTAATTAAATGAACCTACCAACTTGTTTAAGTTTTCATTATATTATTTTTAATGAATTAATCATATACTCAAATAGAGATAAATTTGGAAACATTTGAAACTATTTGGATTCAACAAACAGGATTTTTGGAGAGGATTACAAAATAAAGTAGAGTCAATTTCTATTACTTTAAAAATTTGATTATTTTGGAAGGTATTGGTTTCTATGTTAAAAAGGCAAAATAAATTAATGTAATAATGCTGCTAAGTTAATTTGTCAGAAAGTTTATGAAGATTTTATAATGCAAATTGAGTAATTTCATAATGAAGAAGAGATCTAACCATTTTATTAATTATTTTAATAACCCCAATATAGAGAATTATGCTAAAACAATCAAGGATTTCGGATATATTCTAAATAATTATTGATGAAAGAAATTTAATATATGATGTAGCAAGGATATTAACCTAATTATCGTGTTCTACCATAACATTTTATAATAACATGGTTTCCTAGAACAAAAATGTTTTATATATAATAATGTATCTATAATATGATTGGTTATTAATATAGTTATTAGGGTTTGAGATAACAATTCAAATACCATAAATAAATGAACATTACTGTATTAGAAGCAATATCAATCTATCTAATTTTGGATGTAGAAAATATTATGAATTAATATTCATCAATTATAGAAATCAATTAAATACCAAATCAATGTTTTTTGGTTATCAAAGCAGAAAATAATTAATAATCTTTTGAAGATGTATTAATGATTTTAGATAATCATTTGGTAAATAATTAATTCTGGCCTATTACTTATTTAGAAATGAAGTTAAGTCCTAATTAACTATTTTGTTTAGAAAAAACTATAGATGATTAAGTAAGAACTAAATCAGGTGTTAAGATATATTCATATGATGAAGTATTACATGAATCATCGAGAATAGATTAAATATTTGATATAAATTTGAAACAAATTATAATTGAAAGATACTGTATCTATTTAATTGATTAATATAGGTTCTGATTAAATATTTGTATATGCTGATCAAGATAAATAAGCTGAAATAACAGATTAAATTATTTAAATTGTAAGAAAACCAAAATAGAATATACAAGTAGATAAAGAAGATAGATTTTAATAATAATAATTCTATTATAAAGAAACTTCAAATAAACTTATTAAAAATAAAAAAAAGGCTAATTAGAAAAAACCATTTCCTTTTACAGACAATCATAGAAAATCTTATTAGGATCAGTTTCAATTTTATGATTAATAATAATTTCAATTACAATAGAATTCACATATATAATATTCTAATAAGAAGTTTAGAGAAAAAACTATATAGAATGAAGATTAAAATAATTAATTTGATGTACATAATTAATATAATTCAAATAATTAATTTGATTAAAATAATTAAATTGATATACCATTAAAAAACTATAAAAAGTTTACGAATAACTAAGAGATGCCCAAAAGGACAATATAAAATAAAAAGAAATAAAAACATAACTACTAAAGATAGGAAATAATGGATATCCCTTTGAATAATGCAGATGTAAAAATGTATCAAAATACATATAATTATTAATATTAATAATAATAATATTAAGAAGAAGAGAAATCTTCTTAGCTTTTATAAGTAGAAGATTTAAATAAATCATTTCAATGTTAAGTAATTAAAATAGAACTATTCTAATATTAAATAATTTATACTTAGAGTAAACTTTAAAGTAATAAAAAAATTAACTTTAAAGAATTAAAGAAATCATTTGAAGAGTTTCAAAATATATATTATAATTTATAACATGAAATTCTATTAGAATTTGATACTGATAGTATAATAATGAATATTAAATGTAAATAATAAGACGAGATAAATTTAATTAAATAGATTTTCGATAATTATTTTTTGTAATCTATGTATTTTGTAACTTAAAATTCAACATTAGCATAAAATTTAATAGATACTTTGAAATAAAATTGCAAAGTAGAATATTTTACAACTAAAACAGAATTATAAGGATTTTTGAATGAATAATAATTTAAAGAGTTAGAGTATATTCTTAATGGTTAATAATTGGCTATAAAAATTAACAATTATTCATATAGACATCAATAATTCTTAAAAGGGAAATTTAATGATTTTATGAATTAATAGTCTAGTAATTAGAATTCTTCAATCTTAGATATATCTAAATAAGGTACAAATAATACAAAGATAATTATAATATCTGAAGATTAATTGAAATATTTATAATAAGAATTTCCAGATTTGGAAGCATGTTAATTGAGAAAATTCAATTAGTATTTTGATTTGGCCTTTTATTTTGTATAGATTGAAGATATTGAAGAAATGTTAGAGAATGCCAAGGTTGAATTTAAAAGAAGAAATGAAATATATGTTAAGAATTAAGTTGAAAAGAAGAAACAAGAGAATTAAAAAAAAGGTTGGATGATATAATTTAAGACTGATTAAAATTATGAAGCTTCAGAATTATATTGTTATAATATGATGGAAGCGTTTTATACTGAATTACTAAATGATATAAATGATATTTAAATGAATATAGAAGAATATTAAGCTAATTAGAATTTATCAATGTATTATGAAACCATTATTGAGTTGGGTGATAGAGTATTGAATCCCAATGATCCTGATAGTATTGAGAAATTACTATTTAAATCAGATTTTAAATGTATATAAATACTATGATTATTAATAGTCTAACCAAAAATGATGAGTCGAATCGATTAGCCTTAAGGAACATTTATCACACTCTGGATTCGTAATTAGGAGGATAATTTGAGTTAAATGTAAATGATTTAAAAAAATAAAATCCTTCCTAGGTATTTGATTGATATTTATATTATTTTAGAGGTTATATCCAGAAAAAGTGATAATATAAATATTATCAGGAAAATATAAAAATAAAATGATAATTTATATATTAAATGAAGGGCTTCGAAATTGAATTAGATTTAGATGCTGAGTATATTATGTGGATGTACCATCTAAAATTCTTCATTGATTTAAAAAGAAAATATGAAACATTTGTGAAATTCAGAGGAAATAAGGCATTTTTAGAAGGAGGAGATTAGCTTAGGGTTTAATGTGCAGTAGAGGATGCCTTATTTAAGGCTAAGAATGAATTTATTTATGATTTTTTGATGCAATCAAATAATCTTGATGAGAATTATGGACCATACTTGGAATTGTTAAGCAATTAGAAATATGAATAGATTAAAAAAGAATACTATGGATTATTTATATATACTAAAAGGCAATTCATGTAGATAAAGTAAGAATTGATTGATAAATTTGGGTACTTAAAAAATTTCTCTCGACAATACCCTTAAAATTTTGTGATAATATTCTTGCCTTCTAGCAAGCAATCTTAATTAATTTAGAGAATATAAGATTTAGTTAGACATATTAATAATAATATTGATTAAGGGATTACACCATAAAGTTCAAAATATTATAGTTATAGAAATAGAGATTTGGCATAGAGAAATGTTTATAAAAAGATTTATTAAATAAAGATGAGAGATTTGTAAGCTATTCAAATATTTTTAATATTTGATATAAGGAGAATGGAAGAGTATTTTAAGGTGTCTTTTACTTTAAAAGATTATCATGATTATGTGATATTGGTTATTTAAGGATCATCTGATAATGGATGTTAAGAGGCAATGTCAACATTAGAGAATCATTTGAAACATAAGATGTTATTTTAGATATAAAAAGAATAAGGTGATTTATTTAAAGGAACAGAATGGAAAATAGTAAAAATTGAAGAAATAGAATTAATTGCCAATAGATTAGATTAATGTTTTGAGACAGAAATTTTAAAGAGGATGACTAATAATTTTTAGAAAAATGATTTCATATTTACAGATATTACATAATGGAATTATTTTAGATAAAAATAAATGAATGAAGAGAGTAATTAAATATCTAGATTGACAAATAGTTATTATTAAAGTGAAGTTGATAGATAGATAGACAGTGAATTAATATAATAAGATATTAGTGGAATAGGATAATTAGAATAAGAGAATTAGAAAGAGATATTTCCATATAAAAATAATCAAGATTGTAATTCTGATATAATTATGTAACCTATAAATTAATAGATTAATAAATAAGAAATAATTTAATAGATAGATAATCAATCATCAGATGAAGAATAATAGGATATGAAATAATTAAAAATTATTAAAGATCACAAGGTTGAAACTTTATAGGATAAAATAATAATTGAGTTTTTTAATTATAAGGAGAAATCTAAATTATATCTCTTTCTTAATAATTTTGATGAAGGATAATTCCAATCAGATTTTGATGCATATTGTTCAAATAATTATATTTTTCCATATGTCATTCAACCTGATTATAGTCAATAAAATTAATTGAAGTTTATAATTGAGATTTTCACTAATGATGATAAAAATAATCTTGATTAAATAATAGATTTCTTGGATCATTATATGAATTGTTAAATTATGTTGGGAATCAAAAATATTTAATAATTATAATAAATAGATTAAGAGGAGTTAGAAGAATTATGTGATGATTACAATTGTAATTTAAAAATATATAATTGTGATCTAAGTGCAAAATAGGTAGGATGGTAGGAGATTGATGCTTAACCATAAAAGAATTAAAATGGAAAAGATACTGTCTTAGTATTTTCAAATGTAATGCATTGTTTTATAGAATAATTAAAAGATAAAGTGAATAGTCTTAATTAATTTAGTAAAAAAAGCATTATTACTTTACTTTTTTAATCTTAATTTGAATTTGCATATAAATTAGGTGAAATTAAAAAGCTTGATAAATTTGGTCAATTTCATTTAGATGATTGTTATTGGGTGAAAATAACAGCAAAGAATCCTAAAGAAATTATTAATAATATCAAAGAGAATGATTCTAAAATATTTAAGACAATTTTAGGGAAATAATCTATATGTTAAAATGAAGCAATAGTATTAGGTAAAGCAGATGAGAATAGAGAATTTTATGATGTATTTATTCCTGAACTTTATTGCAAATACTATGAAAAATTAAGGAGTGATTATTTAGAACATCAATATTTAGAGGAAGAATGGAAATAAGTAAAAATTGAACCAAATGAAAAATCATTTTTTATAGATGTGACTGATTTAGAAATACCACCTACTCATTTAGAACCAATAATTGAAGTGATTGCTAAATTTGAAAGTATTTTTATTATTATTGATTTTTTTAGGAAAAGGTAAAGTGATTGAAAGTATTACTAATTTATAGAAAGGTGTCTATTTAATTGGAAAAACTAATAATGTAAATTCTGATACATTTGAATTGACCATGAACAATCATGTTATTAGGTATTTTTAATAAATTAATTTCTATTAGTTCCATAATAAACATTAAATGATTAATATATATAACTATTATAATCAATTATGCATTTTAACAATTAAATATGGGCCATTTTATGGAAGAATATGAAGATGACCAATATGAAAGAATTTGGTAAAGAGCTCTTTATACCATCAATAACAGTGTTCGTGTTATTGATGGTATAAAAAGGTGAATAAGGTACAGGTAAATTGTTCATGTCAATTTTGGTACCTGTTTACATTCCATCTTGTTTTGTTGGATTATGTAGATAGTTGTTAGTAGAATATGTTAATGAGAAATCAAATAAATATAGAGATTTATATAAAGTATATAATTGTAATCTTAAAATTAGATTATGGGTATGAAGTTGTAAAATTATAGAATAGCATGGTTTATTACATATATAATAAAGAGTTTAATTATAGGTTCATTGATACTAATAACATTATTGTATAAAATGAATTTCCAATAATCACTTGAAATAGTGTTTTGCTTTATGTTATTTATTTTGGCTTAAGTTGGATAGACTTTATTATTATCTACATTTTTTAGTAACTCTTAATTAGCTGGTGAATTTGGATCATTCTTTTAAACAATCCTATCTACATTTTATTTTGCATCTTTATATTAAATGGAATATTTGGTTTATATTTGTCCATAATCAATTATTTCATTTTACTTGATGAATATATTAGATAATAATAATAATAATGTAGAAAATATTACTTTTTATTGTATTCTAAGTTTATCATTCCATCTTTTAGCTTATTATTTTTTATTTAATCTATTAGATGAAGAATGCATAAAGAGTAGAAAATGTTTATGGACAAGATAGAATAAGACAGATTATGTTTAATTAGAAGATCAAATGGAGGTAATAAGTAGAATATATAAAGATGAGAAGATAATATGATGAAGAGGGTTTAGCATTTACATCTATTGAAATTGTGAAATTATTTAAGTAATATGGTGATGTAGTGGCTGTTGATAATTTGAATCTAAAAATCTATTCATAATAAATACTTTGTATTTTAGGATAGAATGGTGCTGGTAAAACTACTATTCTTAATATATTAACTGGATTAATAGAAAAAACTAGTGGCAAGATTTTATATTTTGGTAAGAGTTTTGATAAGAAAAAAGATGAAATATAAAAATTAATTGGATTTTGTCCATAAGAGAATTTATTGTATGATTAATTAACTGTATATGAAACATTACAATATTAAAGTATGATGAGAGGAATTGATTCAAATTCAGATATTGATATGTTATTAAATCTAATGTAATTACAACAATATTCTAATTATAAGACTAATGAATTAAGTGGTGGAAATAAACGTAAATTATAAATTGCCTTAGCTTTGGTTGGAGGTTCTTAAATTATATTTCTTGATGAACCAACTACCAGTATTGATCCTGAATCTAGAAGATAAATTTGGAAAATATTGAAAGATATCAAATAAATCAATAAAACACTTATTTTTACTACTCATTTTTTAGATGAAGCTGAAGAATTGTCTGATCGTATAGCTATTATGAAATAAGGATAAATCAAAATTTATGGATCTTCAGAAAATATAAAAAAAGAATTAGAAGTAGGATATACATTAACTTTTGGGAATATTTAATCATCTGAATAATAATCATAAATTAAATAATTATTTAATGAATTAGAATGTTCAAGTGGATCTCAACTTGAATATGACAATATTAAATATATCCTCAATTAAAATCAATTATTTTCAATTGTTGAAAGAATTTATGAATTGAGTAAAACATAAAATATTAAAATACAATTAATATAAAATACTTTAGAAGCAGCCTATCTAAAATTAAACAAAGATAATTTAGAGGATGATAAAATAATCAAAGAATATTCATTCCCAATAAAATCTACAAATGATATTAAAACTAAATAATTTTTCTAAATATCTGCTTTATTATATAAGAAGTATTATGTTCTCAAAAGGAATTTTGCTTTGTAATTGATGTTAATCTTGCCCATGCTTATCTTATTATTAGCTTATCTTTTTGGATACTAATTATTATAAGGTTAAACATAGATATAATTATTTGTATCTCTATTTATCTCACAATCATTCAGCCTTAATTCATCTATATTTATAAATACACCAATTCTTGAAAGAGAACTCAAAATTAGATAATAATTAAAATAAATGGGTATGTCTTAATTTACATACATATTTGGAACATTCCTTGGAGATTACTTTATTATTTTGATTCTAACTATATTCATATATGTTCTATCACTCTAAGTTGAAATGCTATTATCATCAGAATAATTGTTAATTACCTTAATTTTATTCGGATTATCAGTTATTTCATTCTCTTATGCAGCATCCTTTATGTTCAGTTCAAATCAAAGTGCTATTAAGATATTCCCTGTTTTTAATTTATTATTTTGCTATTTTATACCATAAATGATTGAACTTCAACTTCAAAATCAATTTACTGAATTATTTGCATATATGTTCCCTCTTTATGCCTTAAATTTAGCATTAAAAGATGATAGACAAGATTATTCTATATATTTTATAATCTAATTCATCTTTTATATGTTTCTATATTATATTTTAGAAAAACAATTTGTTTTATTTGAAAATAGATAGGATTTATAAGATAGTAACAATAAGTTATAAATTCAAAATATTCAATTTGGATATACTCAAAATAAACAAGTATTAAAATCAATTGATCTTTAATTGTCTCCATAAAAGATATTATCATTACTTGGACCTAATGGAGCTGGTAAAACTACACTCATTCAATTAATTACTGATTGTCTTAAATTAAATTGGGGAAGTATAATGTATAATGAAAATACAATTATTTCATCTTGTTAACAATCTTAAGGTTTATGGGAAGATTTAACAGCTGAAGAAATTCTATATTTATTTGCTAGGATTAAAGGAAGTATTAGAAATGTAAAGAATGAAATTTCATAAATTTTAAGAATACTTTCTATAAAAGGTAAAATTGTTAATATGTCTGGTGGTCAGAAGAGAAAGGTTGCTTTGGCTATAAGTTTGATTGGAGATAGTAATATAATTATACTTGATGAACCATCTAATGGTCTTGATCCAATTTCAAGAAGAAATCTCTAAAATATGATCTAAGCTCATGTCTAAAAAAGAAATAGTTCTATCATAATAACTACTCATGATATGGATGAAGCTTAATATTTAAGTGATAGTATAAGTTTTATAATCAATGGATAATAGCCATTTCCTTAATAAAGTGTTAATTAATTAATTGAATAATATGGTAGTGGAATCTTGTTAAGTATTAGAGTTAAAAATAAAGAGGCTTTAGATTAAGTGATTTAGTCATTTCCATAAAATCAAAAAGAGGGATTATTGATTGTCATAAAATTGGGAAATGATTATGATGTTCCATAAACAATTAGAATATTGAAAAATTTATGTTAAGAAGATTTAATTGGATCATTTACTATAAAATAAGCAAATTTAGAATAGGTTTTCTTGAGACAATGCCGAAAATAATATAATGAAGATTGAGTATGTAATATATATATATATATAAAGTTATTTTAAATTTTTTTAATTTATGTTGATCAGCGATTTTTTGGTTGCGGCTAAAACAACAAAATAAACTAAAAAAGACATTTAACCAACTGAATAATAGCCTAAATAGAAGAGGAAATTGAAACTTACAAATACAGTGTTTGAACCTTCTATTCATAGTTTAAAGGAATTTAAATTTGAAGATGAAAAAGATGAACAATAATAAATTGAATAAATTGATAAATTAAGTAATGCTATATAATTATAGCCCATGCTTAATATTATTAGATTAAACACTCCAAAAACAACAACTTCACTTAAAAAATTAATTGAATAATAAGAAGAAGATTAATTAACTAGACATCTCAAATTTAGATAAGAAGATGTTAGTTATTTATTTACATTATTACTTAATGAAACTAAATCTTAAATGAAAGAATTGAAAGATGATTATTAAAGTGAAAATGAATATTTACAATATTTTTTACCTCCATTTATTAATGAAACACTTGCATATGTTAAAAGTACAGCAGAAGATATGGCAAAAAAATATAAAAATCCATCATTACCATTACCTTTAAGATATCAATTGATTATAGATAGAAAAAACACTATTCTAGGCAAATATTTAGTTTTAGAAGCTGTTGAAGGAGATTTTGATTAAGCTGATAAATATACATGGAAAAAGACATGTATTAGTGAATACTTTGAATTTATAGCTGCAAAAAGTTACATTGTATAAATATTCATTAGAAATGAAAGAGAATATGTTAATTTATTAGGAATTATTTCTAAATAAGAATCAAATAGAGATAAAAATTTAATTTATTTACCATGGAATTCAAGAGTTATCAATTCTCTTAAAATACCTAATATTGTTATAGAATATGACAATAAAAAATAAAATATTTATTAATTGAGATAATCATATGTACCTTTAACATATCCTAATTTTGATGAATTGTATCCTTATCAATTTTTAGTACATTTAAATCCCATTTTCTCACCTGCCACTTATCTTATTGAACTCAAAGCTCTACTAAATATTGGTAAATCCAAATATTTAAATTGTTTATTATATCCATAAAATTATATTGAACCTCGTCCTTTAATGAAATAATCCTATGAATTTGGAATTCCACTTTTGTAACTTACAGAGGAATATCTCAAAAATAATAAAAAATTTAATCAATCCTAAATGAATGCAATTAGACACTCAACCAATTATACACATCCCTTTACTTTGATTAATGGACCTCCTGGTACTGGTAAAACATATACATCTATGGGGATTATGAATATTGTTATGCAAAGAATGAATTAACTTAAAGAGGATAGTATTATTTTAGCTTGTGGTCATTCAAATACAGTTATAAATGATTGGGTTAGAAAAATCAATAAGGAATTTTCAAATGCAAAAGTAATGAGAATAGGAGTGGCTGAAAAATCAGATCCTGATATTTATGATTATTGTTTAGAAATTAAA